TTGATTGACATTTAGGCTGTTCCACCTTTCAGCTCTTGTAAATAGTGCTGCAGTGAACTTTGGTGTTGAAGTATGTATTTACATTCCTGCTTTCAGTTTCTAGGAGTGGAATTGCTGGATCATATAGTAATTCTATGTTTAACTTTTTTGAGGCACTGCCAGACTGTTTTCCACAGTTAGCTACACCATTTTGTTTTCCCACCAGCAATGCATGAGGGTTCCAGTTTCTCCGTATCCTCACCAACACTTATTTCCATTTTTCTAATAATAGCTATCCTAGTGGGTGCAAGGTGGTATCTTATTGTGGTTTTGATTTGCATTTCCCTAACAACATTGACCATCTTTCACATGCTTATTCGTCATTGGTATATCATCTTTGGAGAAATGTCTTTTCAAATCCTTTTCCCATTTTTTTTTCTTTGTTCATTTTTAATTGGATTATTTGTATTTTTGTTGTTAAATTGTAGGAGTTCTTTACATAGTCTGGATATTAAACCCTTATCAGATACGTGGTTCCCAAATATTTTCTCCCATTCTGTTAGGTTGTCTCTTCACTTTCTTGATAAAGTCCTTTAGTGCACAAAAAGTTTTCATTTTGATGAACTCCAGTTTATCTGTTTTTTCTTTTGTTGCTTGTGCTTTTGGTGTCATGTCTAAGAATCTGTTGTCAAAAGCAAGGTCTTGATGATTTATTCCTTTGTTATCTTCTAAGAGTTTTGATTTATTCCTGTGTTTTCTTCTAAGAGTTTTATGGTTTTAGTTCTTATATATTTAAGTCATTGTTCCATTTTGAGTTAATTTTCATATATGGTATTGGTTCATCTTCATTCTTTGCACGTGGAGAGCCATTTGTCCCAGCACCATTTACTGACAAAACTGTTCTTTCCTCCTTGAATCGACTTGTCACCCTTTTCAAAAATCAGTTGGCTGTAGATGTGTGGGTTTCTTTCTGACCTCTCAATTCTGTTCTTTTGGTCTGTATATCTATCCTTACAAGAGTACCACAGTTTTTATTACTGTAGCTTTATAGTACGTTTTGAAATCAGGAAGCGTGAGCCTTCCTACTTTGTTCTTCCTTTTCAAGATTGTCTGGCTGTTTGGGACCCCTTGAATTTCCATATGAGTTTGAGGATGGACTTTTCTATTTCTGCAAAAAAGACTGTTGGGATTTCAGTTACATTGTATCCGTAGATCACTTTGGGTAGATTGACGGCTTAACAATATTAAGTCTTTCAGTCCGTGAATATGGGATGTCTTTGCATTTATTTAGGTCTTCTTTAATTTTTTTCAGCAGTGTTTTATAGTTTCCATTGTACAAGTTTTTCACCTCCCTGCTTAAGTTTATTCCTAAGTATTTTAAGAGTTCTACTTATTTTTGCTTGAGGAATGTTCTTTTGAAGATCTTTTGTTCTTATAATAGAGAACGGAGACCAACATGGGCTGAAGAAAGAAGATTAAATGCCGAAACATTTGGAATCCCACTTCGTCCAAACCGTGGCCGTGGTGGCTACCGAAGCAGAGGAGGTCTTGGTTTCCGCGGTGGCAGAGGGCGTGGTGGTGGCAGAGGTGGTAGCTTCACCTCCCCTCGAGGATTTCGTGGTGGATTCAGAGGAGGTCGCGGGGGCAGAGAGTTTGCAGACTTTGAATATAGGGTAAGTATATTAATATGCTTTGGGATTGGCATGCAGTTTTATGAAACTCTTTTTTTTTTT